GAGGAGGTTCCGAAGAAGATAGAGGATGAATAATATATCCTTGTAATTGATCTCGTATTTGTTTGACAATTATCGGAGCAAATTGTGAAGCAGGAAAATGTAAATCATCACAAAGAACTTCCGCAAAATGTTCAGGCGTGATATACGTTTCTGATCGGTCAATATAATTCACCACAAAATAAATCCATTTAAGTTAAAATGACCATCTTTCTAATAACTTTAACTAATTTTATATAAAATGAAAAAGTCAAAGTAATATATAAAAGGGCGTCTACCATTCATATTCCATGTAAAAGTATCACGTAATTTATAACCTTCAGCACCGTCAATTTCTAATCTTATCGGAACCAATATATCTTCTTTTTGCGCGATATCTCTTAATTGATGCAATGAGCTAAATAAATAAATAAATATATATAAAATAATAATAATAATAATAATAAAGAATATTAAGTGGTACAATATAAATTATTAGCATATTAACAAAAAAAAAAAAGAATGATATATAAAAATTGAGATAAAAAACATACAATTTAAACTCTTTTGTTCTTTTAGGCCTTTTCCTTTCATTTGGATAAATAATACGAAACTTAGTTCCAGTAATACCATTTCCATAACCTTGATATCCGGGACCAAAGATAAATGGACCAGAACGAAATTGATGTCTTTGTTCAGCTTGAGTTATTTCTTTACGTTTTTCAGTTATGATAGACATTTGCCTTCTATGTTGAAGATCTAAAGCTTTTTGATATAAATTATCACGACGAACATATTGATCCAAATACTGTTTTTGAACAGGAGTAAGATCAGGAGCCGGTTCATAAGGTTTAGGAGCTTGTTGAACAGGTTTTTTTAAAGTAGAGTCATTATTTTGTTTTTGAGGATGTGAGGAACGGAGGACAGTCTGCGAAGGCGCAGCATTTTGAGCGGGTCTTCTCATCTGAAGCATCATATGTTGTTGTTGTTGTTGTTGTTGTTGTTGAGTTTGAGCTAGTTGTTGAGTTTGAGCTAGTCGTTGCATTTGTATTCTCTGACGTTGAGCAGCTAATTGTTGCTGATTTTGCAATTGTTGCTGTTGATTTTGTAATTGTTGTTGTTGATGTTGTTGTTGATGTTGTTGTTGTTGTTGCTGCTGCTGCTGCTGTTGTTGTTGTTGTTGCTGCTGCTGCTGTTGTTGTAATAAATTTTGTCTAGAGGTAGCAACCATTTGACCTAAAGTTCGATTAAAGCCAGGTCGGAACACATCCATTCCCATACCATTAATGTTACCTTGATTACCGTAAACAGAGTTATTAATTGCTGACATGGATGGTATTGGAGTCGAGGATGTTACGGGTAACGACTGGTGATTTTGAAAAACGTACGGATTGGAGATGTTTGAAGTATTTTCAGCACCTAACCCTCTAAGTTGTTGTAAGTTCTGATTATTCGTAGCCACATAATTCGCAGATTGCTGTGATTGTTGCACGATCCCTGAATTCATTGCGCGTTGGTTAGCAGGATGTTGAGAGGTGAAATTAGTTGCATACTGCTGCGATTGAGATAATGCAGGATTTGTAGGGAGACCTAGTGAATTATTATTATATCCAGCTTGCTGTTGTTGCTGGTTCATATTTGGTATAGAAGAGTAGGAATCCATTTTTAAATAGTCTTACTCAGTGATGGTGAGTTTGATCAACTAGGTTAACGATCGCGACTTGTTAAAAAAAAAAAAATTTTGTCAAATTCACATTCATACAGTCTTTTAGGGGGATTGATCACGAGATGTGATCGTCGTGGTGCCACGATAGTGCCACGATGGTTCCTTTTATAGTTTAGTAATAATTTTTTTTTTTGTTAGAGTAAAGAAAAAAAATTAAATTGTAACATACTTTTAACTTTTCATAATATTTTTAATAAAATAAATCTGTTATTAACCTTTTATTCTTATATTCTTATTTTACATTATCTACATTAGTAATTAGGAAAAATAGGATAAGCATGGTAGCATGATTGAGTAAAGTACTGTAATTAGGTTTATAGAAACAAAATACAATTAGAATTAAACGGGATGAGCGAAAGAATTTATTAAATCGTTGATGAGCTCATTTATAGAAATATTAAGTGAAACGTTGAAAATATATCAGAAATGACTTTTTGTTTGAATCTTTAATTTAACCCCACCCCTGAAATAAAGAAAATCAATGATCGCATATTAAGCAACGCAACATACCCCACATTAACATACATACTTTGATACTCATTAACAATGGAGGAAATGCGTTCCCTTACTCTTTTGTGTTTCCACACGCGTAACTTGTGTTCATGATCTGTGCTAGAAGGATATTGCCTAATCATGTTTAAGAATTATAATGGAAATTTTTGCCTAAAAGGTAAAAGAACAATTCATATCATCAAAGTCACAATGGACTCAAAATGGTATCGGTAAGAATGTGAAAATAAAACAATATAAAATAGATTTTACAGTAATATTAATAATACCGATATATACCGATAATATTAATAATATAAAATAGTAATAATGAATAAATTTAAAATACTGTACTGTATCAAGATTTGTACGAGCGAAGAGTCCATGCATATTCTTTTATTAAAAATAAAAATAAAAATAAATAAATAATAAAATGCGAATTTTAATTATGTAATTGTTCCCTAATTTGTCTATATATTTAATGAAAGACAGTAACCGCGCATCGTAAAGAGCCACATTAGTTTGTAAAAAATCTTGCATCGCATTCTTTCGCGGAAAAACTCTCGTCTACTAAATAATATAATAATGTACAATAAATTCTCGAATTTTTTTTAGAATGACATATTCAATTATGATAATAATATTAAACCAATCATAAAAAAGCTTTTCTGCTAAATTTCTAATAATGTCTTTTAAAGAAAGGATTAATAAGTCTAAAAACAAATTTTGAGAATTCTCGCGTAAAAGTATCAAGACTACTTACCAGTTACTCTTTTGCAATTCAATAACTGATAAGTAATTTTGATTGATCAATGCAACGTAAATTTTATCACGTGCAAAAGGCCCGTGCAAGTGTATATCATATATATGTGTATATTAAAAATTTACTTTCCCCATTTTTCATTTTTTTTTTTTCATTTTTTTTTTTTTTTTTTTTTTTTCTCCTGCATGTTGAATTTTGCATTATTTAAGTCGTTGATGATTTCCTGTGCAATAATGCTTACCACAAAAGTCCTCATTAATACGCGGGAACCAGTCATTTTGGTTTTAAAATTCGATTATGTGTCTGATCGGCTAACTATTTTGGGCTCTAGCGCGGGACGATCTCAATTAAACATTTATACGTATTCTTTACCTTTATGCATATCGATATTACCTTATTTGTAATCTGGTTAGTTTTGTATTTAATATCTTGTTTTCAATACAGTATTTGATATAAGTTATATATATATATATATATATATTATTGATATATTGTAATAACTTATCACGTCAAGTTGACTCGGAAAATGTGATTATATGCTACTTGATTATTATTTATTTTACATATTTTTTTTTCGATTGGTTTTTTTTTTTGTTTTTTTTTTGTTTTGAATTGCTGGGAAAAAAATACACGAAAATCACTCTTATTTAGGTTCCCAACGCCGATCTTTAAATTTATTTGTCCCTGGATTGGTTCAATCCTATCCCGAATTCTGGTCATCCGGTTTATTATATAAAATGTTATTGATAAACTAAACATTAACCCAATTTTCACTGCATATATGCGTCCGCATTATATTGTAAAATATTATTTTTGTTATATTTTTGTTATACTTGTGTTTATGTGTTATCTGAAATTACTTTATTTGATTATTAGTTTGTGTAATTTTTTTTTTTAAAAAAAAAAAAAGTTCTTACGTAAGTTTCTATCCGTCTTGAAAACTAAGAATATTTTTTGATAGACACAATTTCGTCAAATTAAGATAAATATCGACGGAAATCCCAACATGGTTCAATAGCAAAAGGTTTCATCTCATTCTTAACCATTTTCATTTCTTATCATAAAATATTTTATTATAAAAATACTTTTGATTTGATTATTATGTTAACTTTTAACCCTTCTAAGCGTTCACGCTTATCTGAAATGGTTCAAAGTGATTCTCATTTAGAAGAACACAATCAACATTTACAACAACTTCATTCTCAACAATTTCAAATGAATAACTTACAAAATAATATTCAAGGACAAGTATATCAACCTAATCCAGCTATTAATAACTTTCCTTCTCCTCACCAACAACAATCTTTTCAAATATCTTCTGATAATATGGATTCTTCTTTATTACCGTCTGCTGACTCTGGTATAAAACAAGATGAGCCTTTGACAAAACAAGATTTGCAACGACTTGAAAAAGTTATCGATTTAGTGTTTCCAAGTAAATCCACAGTCGCAAAAGATGCTGCTACAAAACTTTTAAATTCTTTAACCATTCAAAATCAGTCGTCAACTTATACAAAAGATGATAACACTACAACTGTTATTCTTGACCTTCCAATTCTTCCTGATCAAACTAATGAAGTGGAACCAATAACGTCTCCATTAGCTTATCTATTAAATCATACCTTTCCTAATTCTTTAGTTGAATTAGTTAGCAAACTTAATAAGATGTCCATAAATCCTGCAAATTTGGGTCCTATGTATCCAAATTCTCCTTTTATTAATTCAAATATATCTTCACCTAATAATCTATCTTCAGTTGATCCTTCTGCTAAAACTCCTGGTACTCCAACGAAAGAATTATGTAAAAAATTGATAAATGATTATTTTACCAAATTCAACGTCGTTATTCCTATCCTTAATCATAGAAAATTTATGGCTCAATTTGGTGATAAAACAAAACATTCTGAATTACTTGTTAACGCAACTTTGGCTGTTGCTGCGGCAAGATACTCTGATGATCCTTCAATTCGAAAAACTCCAAATAAACCAGGTGGAATATTTTTCGACGCCGCAAAGGTATGCATTTTTTTTTTCTAGGTGCATGTTTTATTTGTTCACGTGATATAGATGTGATTTCTCTAATTTATTTAATTTATTTTTTATTTATTTTAATTTTTTTATTATTAATAAATTAGAAATTGTTAGATACAATGTACGATAAGCCAAAGCTAGAAACTGTTCAATCATTAATTCTATTAGCTCATGCTGAAACTAGCGTATCACGCATGAATAGTGGTTCCATGTTTATTGGAATGGCTGGTATGTGTTAATATTTGTTAAATAATATATACAGTAATTGATTTACAGTATATTGTTATACTAATTATTTACTTTTGATTTTTAGTTCAAATGGCTCATGCTTTACATCTTGAACGTGATGATACTTCTTTACCTCTAGAAGAGGATGAAGAGAGACGAAGAGTATTCTATTGTATTTATTGTTGTGAGAGGTTTTTATCTTTTTTTTTAATTTTCAATTGTCAATTTTGTAATTGTGTCAATAATAATAATAATAATATCATTCCTAACATTTTAGATGGGTATCTTTCACATTGGGCAAACCTTATTTCATTGATGATATAAATATCAATGTTCCTTTACCTACATTAATGTCATTCAACTTTTTAACAAGAAGCTTCTTCATTGCATGGATAAAGTTATCACGTATACTTGGTCAAATTTGGAAATTTGGTTATTCATTTCAACCAAAAGCTTTTCGTGCAAATTGGATAGAACATGCAACTGATCAAAAAAGTATGTTAAGACAAATTCGTTCTGCATTAGCAAAATGGTTAAAAGAATTACCTGATGAATTACAATATCAATATTTACCTACTGAACAACAAAGTCAAATTCAACTAGCAACATTTTCTACTTTTACTGGTAAATACTTTAATACTTTATTTTTTTTTTCGTTTATATATTAATTATTAATTTATAAATTAATTTTATAATTATTATTATTATTATTAATATTTTATTATAATTATTATTATTATTAGGTTATATAAATATTCTTTTTCATACTTGCATAATTTTACTTCATCAACCTTATTTAACTCAAGCATATCATGATCCAAAAATTGAAATGAGAAAAAATGGACCAAATGGACCAATTAAAACTTGCCATACTGCGGCTATAACAATTACCGACATCGCTAGAACGACTCGGAAATTTAATAATGAAGCTTTTTGTAACTTTCATTATCCTATCTATGGCTTATTACAATCAACTATACTTGAATTGGATATTACGAATGGTACTCGCGGTTATGAATCAAATGTTAAAAGGTCCATAATTGATTCAATCGATGAATTAAGATTTGCCGCTGAAAGTTCTAAATTTACTTTATTTCAAGAAATGGTTAAAGAATTAGAAGGTGTAATGATGATAGCTAATGGAAAATCTTCTGATATTGTGGTTCCATTTCCTATCGTTATGCAAATGTTGGAGTCTCGAAATAGTCGTGGTCTATCAAATAATTTTACCAACAATGAAAATATGTCTTTTGGTAAAAATTTTGATTTATCAAAATCTTCAATGAACCGCAAATCTTATAGTTCTACATCATCCAATTTATCTGATGATTCAAGGATGGATGAAACTCAAAAAGTTGTTTATACTTCTTCAAATGAACAATCAACTGAACAATTAACTGAACAAACAACTAAACAAACTGAACAAACAACTGAACAAACGATTGAACAAACAATTGAACGTCCTATCATTAATAGATCATCATCATCATCTGT